AGCAGCCCTTAGGTTCGACTGAATCGAAGGGCTCCGGCAGCCGAAAAGAGCCGAAGCTATGTCTGGATCCTTCGGCTGCTTTGTGAATAACCCCATAAGACTTTAATCTGCAAATGTCACTGCAGTCTGAAGATGTGTTTAATACTGTAATTTAATACTGTAATTGTTAGATATACAATAGCAGTATTAAAAAGCAAAAAAATTGTATTAAAAGTATTTTTTTGTTATGCAAATATGTCAGCAGAACAAATAAGATCGGCCTGGGCGTCTTGGTTTTAATGAGCTCTTTTTTCTCTCCAGATGGAGGATGCAGAAGGCACAGCATGGAACAACTTTCTGCTCTCTCTTCAGATGGAGAGCTAAAATGTGGTGCTTCAGAAGGACTCCCCATGACTGGAAACCTCAGCCCAGTAGTCAACGGCCCTGATTACTGCCAGCACGTCACCCATCAGAGGGCCAGTAGCGAGGCTGAAATGTTCTTCTGTTCCGAGAGAGCAGAACTTGCCTTACATCAGAGTTTGCATATGTCTGAGACATCCTGTTCCCGCTCTGACATTAGTATATCTTTGGCTGGGAGAGGAACCCTTACCCCACTCCGGAGAGCTCACAAGGATGACAAGCCCCATTCATGTTCCGAGTGTGGCAAATGCTTCTCTTGCAGGAAACTTCTGATCAGACACCATAGAATTCACACGGGCGTGAAACCGTATTCCTGTGCGCAGTGTGGGAAATGTTTTACGCAGAAATCGACTCTGATCAAACATGAGAGAGTTCACACGGGGGAGAAGCCCTATTCCTGTTCAGAGTGTGGGAAGTGCTTTGCCCAGAAATCGGTACTCGACAGACACAACAAAGTTCACACAGGCGAGCGCCCTTTCTCGTGCGCCGAATGCAGGAAGTGTTTTCGAGAGAAATCGGACCTTGCCAAGCATGAGAGGCTTCACAGGGCTGAGAAGCCGTTTTTCTGCTCTGACTGCGGGAAAAGTTTTACACAGAGAAGCCACCTGATATCGCATCAGAGGTCTCACACGGGAGAGAAGCCGTTTTCCTGCTCCGAGTGTGGAGAATGTTTTACCCGGAGGGGAACGCTTATCACACATCAGAGAAATCACGTGGAGAAAACATTTCCCTGTTCTGAGTGTGGGGAATGTTTTGCTGAGGTATCGGACCTTTTCACTCATGAAAAAGTTCACGTAGCGGAGAAGTTGTTTCCCTGTCCCGAATGTGGCGAATGTTTTGGCCAGGTAGGGCTCCTTGTTTCCCACCAGGCTGCCCATGCCAAGGAGAAGTCCTACTCCTGTGCTGAGTGTGGGAAATGTTTTTCTCGAAACGACCAACTCATCAGACATCAGAGAACTCACACAGCTAAAAAGACGTTCCCCTGTTCCCGATGTGGCAAACATTTTTCTCGGAAGTCATCTCTTATCCGGCACGAAAAAGTCCACACAGGGGAGAAGCCGTACACGTGTTTAGAGTGTGGGAAGTGTTTTAGTGAAAAGTCGCACGTTATTATTCACGAGAGATCCCACAGGGCGGAAAAGCCATATTCCTGCTCTGAATGCGGGAAGCGATTCTCCGGGAAAGATAAACTTGTCATACACCGGAGAATTCACGCGGGGGAGAAGCCATTCCCATGTTCAGAGTGTGGGAAATGTTTTCGGCAGAAGTCGGATCTGACCAAACATAAGAGAACTCACACAGCCGAGAAGCCGTATCCGTGTTTGGAATGTGGGAAGTGGTTTTCGTGGAAAGAAGTGCTTGTTACCCATCAGAGAATTCACACGGGAGAGAAACCGTTTTCATGTTCTGAGTGCGGGAAATGTTTTACCCAGAGGGGAACTCTTTTCTCGCATCAGAAGACTCATATGGTCCAAAAGCTATAATCATATACCAAATGCCAATCATTTACTGTGTTACAAGAAACCACACAAAGGGACTGGGGGCATGTGTCTGTTTCCAAAAAGGGGAATTGTTTTGCTTAAGTTTGGAACTTGTAACATATTAAAGAAATCATAACGTGGACACCCATATTGATGTACTTGAAATAGAATTGTACTTAAAATAGAATGCAAGACTGTCCTCCACATCCTCTTCCAGGTCCTCGTTCGATGTGAATGAGGTCCATAGTCACTCAACCCATTTCCTGAGAGCATCGGCTGTCATTGACTTCCCCCTTAAGGGATGCCTCAATACTCTGGCTGGGCTCACAGGAAAATGCAGCAGAGAGTATAGGCTTCGGACGCTGAATGGGAAAAGAGGAAGGAGCCTGGGAAGTCATGTGACTGGCCATATGACTGCTTATTTAAGGTATGTATGCAGTGTATTTTTAAAAAAAAATCGGTGGGTGGGTTGGGGCATCTATTTGCTTCATCGTAGAGCAAAGTCTTCCTGCACTTCCCCTCCAGTGCTCTATGCTGGGTAGAGCTGGCTAATGGCCACACCCCTGATCTAAAGCATCCTTACATAGGCTTGCAATGAAGAGGAAGAAGGAGGGGCAATGTCTGACCAGAGAGAGGGCTTGTCTGACCAGAGAGGTGTGCTTTGCCAGAAGAGGGGTGTGTTTCACCAGAGAGGGGTATGCCTTGCCAGAAAAGGGGTGTGTTTCACCAGAGAGGTGTGTCTTGCCAGAAAGGGTGTGTGTTTCACCAGAGGGGTGTGTCTTGTTCCTTCCTGCGCTTCCCCTCTGGCGCTTTATGCTAGTAGAGCTGAGTAATGGCCACAGCCCTCATCTTAAGCATCCTTACATAGGCTTGCAATTAAGAAGAAGAGGGAGGGGCAATATCTTACCAGAGAGAGGTGAGCCTTGCCAGAGAGGGGGTCTGTTTCATCAGAGAGGTGTGCCTTGTGCCTCCTGTGTTTACCCCTTGGTGCTTTAGGCTGGTAGAGCTGAATTATGGCCACACCCCTCATCTCAAGCATCCTTATATAGGCTTGCAAGGAAGAGGGAGGGGCCATGTCTCACAGAGAGGTGTGTCTTGCCAGAGAGTGGTGTTCCCTGCCAGAGAAGGGGGGGTAGTACACCAGAGAGGGGTATGTCTCGCCAGAGAGGGGTGTGATTCACCAGAGAAAGGTGTGTCTCTCCAGAGAGGGGTGTAATTCACCAGAGAGAGGTGTGTCTCTCCAGAATGGGGTGTGTTTTGCCAGAGCAGGGGTGTGCCTCACTAGAGAAGGCATGACTGACCAGGTCTGTTAGCCTCCAAAGTGCACTGGAACAGAGAGGCCATAATATTGAGCCTGTTGATCAGCAAAGTTATATTGAAGTGTACGGGGCAACTGCTACAACAAGAAGGTGGAAAGGGGGCGCTGTCCTTAAATGTCTTCCTTAATGAATATTTTGTGACCTCGGTTGGTCAATGGATATCTAGCAGGGTGCTTTTGGCCTTGACTTTCAAAGAAGCCAACAGCAAGAGGATATAGAGGCTACCATCGCGGCCTTCTTCTGAAGATGTTAGTTGCCTGGCTGTCATCTGTTTCAGTGATTTTCATCCTGTCCTGGTCAGTGGACTGGAACAAGTAAGCAGATCAGAACATTGTTCTGAGTCAGTGATTTAGAAAGCTAAGCTTGGAACCCAGAGGATCAGCGTGACCAATGGGATATCAGGAGGCGGTCAGAAACGGGTGTTCCTTGTATTTTGTTTAGGAAAAGCTTACTTTAAGCCCAACTCCAGGCAGGAGTTGGCCACCAAAGAAGTCACTTGGGAAGAAGCCATATTTGTGTTCTGGATCTTGTAAGTACATTCACACGGGAGGAAGCCATATTTGTGTTCTGAATGTTGGAAGTACATTCACACAGGAGGAAGCCATATTTGTGTTCTGGATCTTGTAAGTACATTGACGCGGGAGGAAGCCATATCTGTGTTCTGAATGTTGAAAGTACATTCACATGGGAGGAAGACATATCTGTGTTCTGAATGTTGAAAGTACATTCACACGGGAGGAAGCCATATTTGTGTTCTGAATGTTGGAAGTACATTCACACGGGAGGAAGCCATATTTGTGTTCTGAATGTTGGAAGTACATTCACACGGGAGGAAGCCATATTTGTGTTCTGAATGTTGGAAGTACATTCACACGGGAGGAAGCCATATTTGTGTTCTGAATGTTGGAAGTACATTCACACGGGAGGAAGCCATATTTGTGTTCTGAATGTTGGAAGTACATTCACACGGGAGGAAGCCATATTTGTGTTCTGAATGTTGGAAGTACATTCACACGGGAGGAAGCCATATTTGTGTTCTGAATGTTGGAAGTACATTCACACGGGAGGAAGCCATATTTGTGTTCTGAATGTTGGAAGTACATTCACACGGGAGGAAGCCATATTTGTGTTCTGAATGTTGGAAGTACATTCACACGGGAGGAAGCCATATTTGTGTTCTGAATGTTGGAAGTACATTCACACGGGAGGAAGCCATATTTGTGTTCTGAATGTTGGAAGTACATTCACACGGGAGGAAGCCATATTTGTGTTCTGAATGTTGGAAGTACATTCACACGGGAGGAAGCCATATTTGTGTTCTGAATGTTGGAAGTACATTCACACGGGAGGAAGCCATATTTGTGTTCTGAATGTTGGAAGTACATTCACACGGGAGGAAGCCATATTTGTGTTCTGAATGTTGGAAGTACATTCACACGGGAGGAAGCCATATTTGTGTTCTGAATGTTGGAAGTACATTCACACGGGAGGAAGCCATATTTGTGTTCTGAATGTTGGAAGTACATTCACACGGGAGGAAGCCATATTTGTGTTCTGAATGTTGGAAGTACATTCACACGGGAGGAAGCCATATTTGTGTTCTGAATGTTGGAAGTACATTCACACGGGAGGAAGCCATATTTGTGTTCTGAATGTTGGAAGTACATTCACACGGGAGGAAGCCATATTTGTGTTCTGAATGTTGGAAGTACATTCACACGGGAGGAAGCCATATTTGTGTTCTGAATGTTGGAAGTACATTCACACGGGAGGAAGCCATATTTGTGTTCTGAATGTTGGAAGTACATTCACACGGGAGGAAGCCATATTTGTGTTCTGAATGTTGGAAGTACATTCACACGGGAGGAAGCCATATTTGTGTTCTGAATGTTGGAAGTACATTCACACGGGAGGAAGCCATATTTGTGTTCTGAATGTTGGAAGTACATTCACACGGGAGGAAGCCATATTTGTGTTCTGAATGTTGGAAGTACATTCACACGGGAGGAAGCCATATTTGTGTTCTGAATGTTGGAAGTACATTCACACGGGAGGAAGCCATATTTGTGTTCTGAATGTTGGAAGTACATTCACACGGGAGGAAGCCATATTTGTGTTCTGAATGTTGGAAGTACATTCACACGGGAGGAAGCCATATTTGTGTTCTGAATGTTGGAAGTACATTCACACGGGAGGAAGCCATATTTGTGTTCTGAATGTTGGAAGTACATTCACACGGGAGGAAGCCATATTTGTGTTCTGAATGTTGGAAGTACATTCACACGGGAGGAAGCCATATTTGTGTTCTGAATGTTGGAAGTACATTCACACGGGAGGAAGCCATATTTGTGTTCTGAATGTTGGAAGTACATTCACACGGGAGGAAGCCATATTTGTGTTCTGAATGTTGGAAGTACATTCACACGGGAGGAAGCCATATCTGTGTTCTGAATGTTGAAAGTAGATTCCCACGAGAGGAAGCCATATTTGTGTTCTGGATGTTGAAAGTACATTCACATGGGAGGAAGCCATATTTGCGTTCTCAATGTTGGAAGTGTTTTACAGAAAGGCCTCTTCTTCCCATCTGTGGTTGCACACTTGCCTTGCCCATCACATAGCCCAGCATTGTATGTGATGACCACGAGGAACTGCCAACAGCCTGGAGTGCTAGGGAGAAGAGCACCAGAGCCTTCCGGAGCAGTGCATAAAGTAGGTAGTATCTCCTTTTGTACCCCCTTGACGTAACAAGCATCTAACCCTTGCAGTACGGGGTGGGGGAAGGGCTGGGGGGCTGCAAGGGCTAATTGCTCATTAGGTCTAGGGTGTAGAAGAAGAAGATATATTACTTACCTTACGCCCCACTCCGGCAAGCTCTGGTACACTTTTCCTGTAGCTCTGAGCTGTGAGTGGTCCCTCTGTGTCATCACATACAATGCAGGGCTAATATTTTGTCTTGTGCCTGGACCCTACCCCCCCACTCCGGCAAGCTCTGGCACTCCTTTTCCTGTAGCTCTGAGATGTGGGTGGTCCCTCGGTGTCATCACATACAATGCAGGGCAAACTTTTTGCCTTGTGCCTGGAATTGGGTTTTAAATTAAAGCTATCCTAAAGCAATGGGGCTGCCATTGCTGATTTACTTCTGAAAATTTTAGATACCCGGCTTCAATACTTTCTGAGTCACTGACCGAGAGCAGTTATACAGGTAAGGAAAGTCAGAGATAACAAAAGTCCTTATCTGACCATTAGGTAGCCATCTAAAGTGTTGACTTTATGACAGCCAAGTAGGTAGTATGTTGGGGAGGAGAGGTTAGCAGTGGCAGCAATCATCATGCATGACAGGTTCCCTTAAAAAAAAGAAAGCGGCCAGGATAGGAATATGGAATCTCATTCTCATCCTTACTTCCCCAGCACCAAGATTTTTGTTGGACAGTTTCTGGGGCCACCAACTAGGAGGCAAAAATTGGAATAAAAAAACCATTTGACAACCAGGCGAGATCATCTATTACCACCTATTATTATGATTGTCTACTATGACCTAGAATAACAATTTAAATGGAGCACCAGTCAATACATATTGTTAGTTTTGGGTAGACCTCTGGTACAAAGGTCATCTACTGCCATGGTTAAGTCTGTGCCGGCCCCTTCTGCTTTGAAACTTGCCCATTGTAGTTTTGGGTAGACCTCTGGTACAAAGGTCATCTAATCCCTTGGTTAAGTCTGTGCAAGCCCCTTCTGCTTTGATACTTGCCCATTGTAGTATTGGGTAGACCTCTATGGTACAAGGAGAGCTGAAGAGGGAAAAAAAAAAGGTCCATGTTTTTATACTGGAACTCCATAATTCAGAGCTACAGGGGAGCTCAATATGCAGATAAAACTATCACATGCCATTAGTTCTGGTTTGGGGGTTTCCTATAAAGTCTATGTAAACCCTAACGAAGAACATCTCTCGGTACGGTGAGTGAGCATTGTCACCCGTAGGACAGGGAGTGTGTTATTGGTAAGATCACCGGGTGAAAATAAAAGAAAAAAGCCTGATAAAGGAAAACGAATGCAGCTACTACCTGTAAGGACTACTGAGCTGCAATATGTTCTTCAGTTTACATACACCTTAATGGCTGCCATTATGAGTTCAGCTAACCTAGCCAAGGTCAGGCAGATACCTCTTGGATCCATTACGTCACTCTATAGCATTGGGCTGGGAAATCTCTTGAGCCTCTGACCACCTAAAGCACTCATCACCACCCTGGTGGTCAAAAACAGCTCTCAAGCGATGCTCAAAGCCAGCGGCATTGCTCACATTTTTCAATAGCCACCCTTAAAGTGCACCTGTCATGAAAGGACTACATGGGGCTGCCTTTATTGGCCTACTTCTGAACACATTGTTCATCTGGCTTCAGTACATAGAAGTCACTTACTTGGACCAAGCATGCAGCAAATGAGTGTCCAAAAGGTTCGGTAACACCTTATCCCTGTGCTTATTCGGGCTCGGTGAACGGTAAAGTCTTGAAGGCATGCACAACAAAAAGTTCACATTAATGTCCCCACCCCCAACTAATCATACCTACCTTCCCATCGCTACTCCGCCACTCATAGGAAGCCCTGTGTATGCCCCAAGTCTCATGGCTAAGCACTCTTTCTTCACCCCTCCCCAGCACCACGTGTCTGATCAACCAGTCAGCAAGCACCAACACGGTCATGTGGGAGCAAGGGGCTTGAATCACATGCGCCCTCAGAAGTACCCGGTATTTCTCTTTGCTCCCTGTGGCCAGTCGGAAGGGTTGGGAAACCAAGTGAAGATAAGCATAAGTTGCTGGTGGCGGGGCCATCTCTATAATGAGGCAGCTTGAACCTTTTACCTTATGCAGCATCTCTTTGGGTCATGTAGGGGGGTGTCAGGCAGAGCAGCATGGCCACTCAGCTGCACAATGTTTGCAGTGTGCCTGCCTTCCCCTTTCTGGACAGAGCATCCCAGGTTGCGAAGAGCAAGGTGGGGGGATGTGTTAGGGACCATTGCTCTTAGCAACCTGGGACACTCCGGCCATGTCCTGCTTAGCTCCTGGCAACTAGTGGTGTTAGTGTGCACCAGCACTGTTAGCTGGCACCACCAGCAAAATCGGAACATGCACCACTAGCGCTCCCACCGGCCTCAGGTGGTGAAAAGGCTAGGGACACCCCTGGTTGTTGGGGGTCACCATTAAAGAGAACCTATTGCCTGCATGGAGGACTAGTATGGCCTTACATAGCATATAGGTTGTACCCCAATGAAAAGTCAACCCAATGCTCTAGAAACCCAAAACCTTCCCTCTTACACCAGGCCTTGATCTATAATACTTACAGCAGAGTGTGCCAACCTCGACACTCCAGCTTTGGTAAAACTACAAGTCTCATGAGGCACTGCAAGTCTCTGACAGCCACAGGCATGACTACCAGAGGCATGGTGGGATTTGTAATTGCACCACAGCTGGAGTGCCAAGGTTGCCTACCCCTGACTTGCAGAGTACTACTTGTGCTTTTCATCCAAGATCCTTCCGTCTGTGGCCTCATCGTCGGTGACTTGTACAGTGTGCATTGGACTCTACAATGTTTCTTCCTAGGTTACCTTACAAAACTGTAACAACAAAACAGACTCGTTGCATTTCTTTTTCAATGTTTAACAGAATGTTTCAAATGAAAAATAACCGACATAAAAATACATTTAGTAAATAATAAATACACAGCAAGTTGAAATGGTGACCTTCTAGATCTGCCTGAAGACTAGCTTCATTCTTGAAAAGGGCGGGGACAATCACCGAGTCGGCGGTATCCATGGCGACGTCCGTGATCACATTTCCATACAATAAAGGTTATTTCTAAAATGGTGATACAAATTCAGAAAGTGTGCAGCAGTTAGAAAAGGTACAACCTGGTTCCAAGGTTCCTCTCCGTTTGGATGGACTTTTGAAGTTGTGCCGTCTTGTTTGGAGGCCACTTTAACAAGTTCAAATGTTTTCAAAGTTACCACCTCCATAGTATTCAATAGGGATGCACTGATACCGATACTAGACATGGAGCTGGCTTCCCAGTCAATCAGGAAGCCAGGCGGCGGGTATTGACTCGCTAACTGGATTCCTGATTGACCGGGAAGCTGGCTCAATGCTGATTGGCCGGGTAGTCGGCTCCCCAGCCGATCAGCATTGGGGCAGCCAAACAGCAAGAAGCCAGGCTGCAGGTAATGACCCGCCGCCCGGCTTCCTTATTGCCCTGGAACCATGGTATTAAATAGGGGTGCATCGATACCGATCAGCGCAATACCGGAGTATTTGGGCGGGTACTCGTCCAAATGCTCCGACACTTACCTATCTTTCTCTCTCTCTGACCGGCAGTGCCTGTAAGGAACATGGAGCCGGCTTCCCAGCCAAAAAGGAAGCCAGGCAGCGGGTCAATACACGCCGCCTGGCTTCCTGATTGACCGGGAAGCTGGCTTAATGTTTCCTTGATTCACTGCCAGTCGGAGAGAAAGGTAGGTATCAGAGCATACATGGCCGGCTTGATGCTGATTGGCCAGGAAAATAGCTCCCCAGCCAATCAGCATCGGGCCAGCCAAACAGCATGGAGCCGCCTTCCCGGGCAATCAAGAAGCCGGGCAGCGGGTAATTACACACCGCCCGGCTTCCTGATTGCCCAGATAGCTGGCTCTATGCTAGTGAAAGTACCAGTATCAGTACTGGCCAGTACCGAAAGATGAATATCGGTATTGGTGCATCCCTAGTATTAAATACATAAAAGAATACAGCTGTGATGGTGCAAGACCCTCATAATGGCCACATCAGGCATGCAAAGGAAATCAGTGAGATCTCACCAACAGAGCCCTTGAGAGATACACCATATGGCCAAACGTTTATTGAAACCTGACCATCACAGCTATATGAGCTTGTGGGACATCCCATTCCAATACCATGTCCATGAATTTGGAGTCTACCCCACTTTGAAGCTATAACAGCCTCCACTCTTCCAGGAAGGCTTTCCACAAGAATTTGTGGCCATTGAGCCCAAGGAGCATTTGTGAGTTCAGGCACAGATGTTGGATCAAAAGACCTGGCTCATAATTGGAGTTTCAATTCATCCCGTAGGTGGTCAGTAGGGTTGAGGTCAGGGCTCTGTGCAGGACACCCCAGCTTCCACTCACCCCACTAGTTAAACAATGGTCTCGTGGACAAAACATGGAGAGAAAAAAGCCACAGACCAATGTTCACCGTTCAAACATTCAATGGTGATTACAGCTTCCAATGTATCTGAGTTCCCCAAGCTGACTTTGATGACTGGGTGAGGAACTCCATCATGTTGGAAGCTGTAGTCGTCATGGATTAAACATGGACATAGAGTGGACATTGGTGTGCGGCTTGTTCTCTCCATGTGTTGTTCTTGTGGAGAGTGGACGGCTCCTGGCTTACACCTGGGTAGTGGAGACTGATGCCGGATGGAGTGGTGAAATTTCCTTGTGTTGCATAAATGGCCTTATGGAGTTGGCTTTATGCAACTCCAGTCATGCTGGAACAGAAAGGGGCCTTCTCCAAACTGTTGCCACCAGATTGGAAGTGCATCATTTTCTATACTACATTATCAGTACTAGGGATGCACCGATACCGGTATCTCAGTATCGAGTACCGATATTTTTTTTCCCGGTACTCGCCGATACCAAATACCAAGTACCGGAAGTCCCATTCAGGAAGTCAGGGGCCGTGTAATGACTTGCCATCTGGCTTCCTGATTAGCAGGGAAGCCGCCCCCAAGCTTCCCGTCACTAGGTGACTAGAAAGCATGAAGCTGGCGTTCTGGCCAATCAGGAAGCCGGGCCCTGTGTAATGACGCGCCGCCCAGCTTCCTGATTGGCCGGGAAGCCGGCTCCATGCTCCCTCGTCATGAAGTGATGAGAGAGCATGAAGCCGGCTTCCCTACCAATCAGAAAGCCGGGCGTCGCGTCATTACACGGCGCCTGGCTTCCTGATTGGCCAGCTTCCGACCAATCAAGAAGCTGGGCAGAGCGTCATTACACGCTGCCCGGCTTCCTGATTGGCCGGGAAGCCGGCTCCATGTTTTCTCGTCACAAGTGACGAGAGAGCATGGAGCTTGCTTCCTGATACCGGAACTATCAGGCTAGGCATCGGAGCATTTGGGCGAGTACGAGTACTCGCCCAAATACTCGGCATCGATACCGATACTAGTACCGGTGCAACCCTACTCAGTACCCTTCACTGGAAATGTGAGATGTCCACATATTTTGGCCATACAGCAGGTTCGATGGTCAACTGTTCACAATCGTTTGCCCATTTATACCATATCTGGCGTACATCTAGATTTCATCCATAAGAGGTTTTCTAGATTTTCAACATAAAGGAAGGTGGGTATTCCCTGGGCAAAACCTATTCAAGCTCAAGGAACTGCCTTCTCGGTTGTGTGAGTCCTTTCGTGAGCCACAAAAACCGACCTCTGCCTGAAGCATTTCCCACACGTACAGCACGAATATGGCTTCACCCCCGTGTGAGTTCTCTGGTGCTGCACAAGGGCCGACTTGTGAATAAAACACTTGTCGCACTCGGAACACGGGAACGGCCTGTCGCCGGTGTGGCTTTTTTGATGCCTCCTGAGGCTGCTTCTGTCGGCAAAACATTTCCCACATTCGGAACACGGGAAAGGCCTCTCCCCGGTGTGACTCATCTGGTGCCTGGCAAGCCTGTCCTTTACAGGAAAACACTTCCCGCATTCCGAACAGGAATACGGCCTCTCCCCCGTGTGGATTTTCTTGTGGGAAATAAGATACCACTTATGAGAGAAAGATTTGCCGCATTCGGAACAGGAATACGGCTTTTCCCTGGTGTGAACCACCTCGTGCCGGTTGAGGGTGGATTTGTCCGAAAACCGTTTCCCGCATTCAGAACAGGAATAGGGCTTCTCCCCCGTGTGGACTCTTTCGTGCGTGATAAGTGTTGACCGTTGCTTGAAACATCTACCGCATTCAGAGCATAAGAAGGGCTTCTCCCCCGTGTGGACTCTTTCGTGCGTGATGAGAGTTGACCTCTGTTTAAAGCATTTCCCGCATTCGGCACACGGGTACTGCTTCTTCCATATACGACGCTTCCGGGTTGGGGTGTGTTCTGCTCTCTTGGAAGAACGTTTAACTGACTCAGACTTATGCCTTCTATGAGCTGTGTGATGAGTGACGAGACGGGGGCGGTCAAGAAAACGCCCCCCATATGTAGAGGGATTGGATGATAGAGCCACACGGTGGACATTTGGGGTAATGAAGTCTTCTTCTGAAGAATCAGAGGTGGCTTCATCATCTTGCCTTTCATCATTAGGCGGGTCGACTGGTTTTTGTTCCATGTCGTACCTTATATATTGTCCGTCTGAAAGAAATAAGCCATAGAAGGAATCATTCAACGGATTTCCAGCAATGAAAAATAGCAGCACACAGCATTTCTATGGGATTATGTTTTCCCTGCACAAGGACAGAGCTTGTTTTTTGATGTTGGCACAACACCTCCAAAAAGACCAACAGGATTATCCTAAAGCTATATACACATAAAATACACATAACAGAGCTGTATTTCTGTCCAGCCAGTCCACAGATTTACACAGTTGCACCCCACAGCACAGCCAGGAGTATGATGAGTATGATGCCGCTTTCCCAGTTACCGTTAAGGAATACAATTGGTATCATCTCTCCCACCATCTTGCTGACGCGACAGTGAAAAAACATCAGCAGGCTGATGAGGTCATCTCTCACTCAATTACTCTCCTCTCTTATCCTATCAGCTTCTTCCCTGTTAGCATTTTTGAAGGTAGCACACCTGATTGGCTCCTGGTCCTGCCCTCCTTCTTTCAGCCAATCAAGAGTTTTTGAAGTATTTAGTGCTTATTACTCACCTGTGCTTATCTCTATAGGAAGTCCCTCCACCTTATATGGCTCCTCACTACTTAAATATGGCTCTTCCTCCTCTTTGATCTTTACAAGTCCTTCTTCCTCCTCCTCATCTTTGACGTCGCTCTCAGGGTCTCCGGGGTCTGTAAATAAAGATGAGAGTGAAGCCCCCTGTACTGAGATGTATGAGAGACCCCGGAGAGTGTGTGTGGGGGGAGACTGGTCACATCTCTTGGCTGGTAACACACAATTACATGATGTGAGGAGGAGAGCCGGAGTCTAATAGAGACTGATGGCTCCTGACTCCCCCCACTAGAAACATTACGTCCCCCCCATTACTGTCTACTGACAGAGGAGGGGGGAGAAGAAGAGATTGTTGTAGTGACTGAACAAGGAGAATCTGGGACTCTTTTCTGGATTTAGTGTTTATTCCTCACCTGGGCTGATCTCTGGAGGGGTTTCCTTCTCCTTACATGGCTCATCACCCCTCACAGGTGGCTCTTCTGGTTCCTCTTTCACTTCAACTTTGAAGTCAATCATATTATTTTCCTGGACAATTAAAAAATACATACACCACTTTATAATACCTGGGACAGACCTGTATAATATTTTGGTTAGAAGTATTTTTTTAGATCAGATCACATACAAAAGATCTAATTAACTATTTATCAAGATCTCCAGTGCAATCTACCTGATCCTGCTGAGGGATCTCCTGATGTTCCTGTGTGGAGTCGGGGGAATACAGAGGACGGGCCTGAGGGATCTCCTGATGTTCCTGTGTGGAATCCCGGGAATACAGAGGACGGGGCTGAGGGATCTCCTGATGTTCCTGTGTGGAATCCCGGGAATACAGAGGACGGGTCTGAGGGATCTCCTGATGTTCCTGTGTGGAATCCCGGGAATACAGAGGACGGGTCTGAGGGATCTCCTGATGTTCCTGTGTGGAATCCTGGAAATACAGAGGACGGGGACATCTCTCTGGGGTATTTCTGTTCCTGGATCCATCTGTAGGAAACACACACACTGACTGAATACATTGTTTCTATGTCTTTTATATCAGAGGATGTGTGTGTCCAGGGGGATCCCCAATACTCAAGAAATGAAAGTCTCCTCTTACCCGGTGATGTGAGGGGCGGCCGGTTCTCCATCATGATGTCCTCATAAAGATCCTTGTGTCCTTCTAGATACTCCCACTCCTCCATGGAGAAATAGACAGAGACATCCTGACACCTTATAGGAACCTGACACACACAATGATACAGTCACCATCCAGACACATGTTTTCTATTACTGGATAATGTTACAGAAATCCCAGGACACAACTTGCCTCTCCCTTAAGCAAATCATGGTCTTCTGGGTAATCTCTTGAACCTTCTTGTTGTCCCGACTCCTGCTCCTCTAGACATCAGAGCCAGTGCTACTAAAATAGGGCTGGGTCTGGGTGGCACTTCTCCATATCCCAAGGGGTCTATGATGCCGAATTGAAGATATAAAAAGACTTGTTACATTTACTGTCTATCGGCATCCTCACAGCTTTCTGAGGGGTACAGTGATGTGTACCTCACCCTGCACATAGTCCTTTTTCATGGTCCTGACACTGCATTACTAAGCTACCCAAGGTGAAGATCATGCATTTGTGGTTGGAAGAAAAATAAAGATACTTATGATTGGATAATGATGTTTTTGTGCGCTGGAGCTGAACACAACCATACCAGGTAGAAGACCAAGGACTGCAATGGAATTTTATAACATCTGCTGTTGGTCTGACGGTGAACATTTGACTGGGTGAAGCGAACACACAAGGAGACCAATCAAACTTTCCATGGAAGTTAGTTAGGAAAGGAGAATGGAGAAACAGACGATTGTGTATTTGGCCATTTTAAAGAGAACCTGTGCTCTGTCCATGCACAGCATATTAATGTTCATGGCATCCCACCAGCAGGTAATACTTTCTTTGCAAACCCAACCGACTCCAACCGCAGGAAGCCATAAAAAATGAGACTTTCATTCTGAGTAGGCAGTATGACTCGCTGACCTCTCTCTTGTGTAATAGTGTTGGTGGTTGGTAACCCAGGCACCAGTGCTGTGCCATTGGGGCAGAGTCCTTAAAGGAAGACAGAGTGGCAGGATGAAGACACAGGGTGACAAGGTTCTCATTTAGTGCCCCAGCAGAGCTCTCCATCAAATGTTCACATCAGAGGACTCACAGGAATATAATGATTGGTTGAGGTGACATGATCCCCCACAGACAGTGCTGCTCTCTTCCTCCTCTCATACCAAAAATACATAATTACCTAATCCTCACTGAGCACACACTCTCCAGCTTCACACCCCCTGCGGTAAGATTCTTGAGCTAAAATTCGCCCTCCTTTTCCCTTCTCTGGTCTACAACAAAATGGCCGCCGCCTCTACAGCACTGAGGATAATTCCTTCTCTAACACGGCAGGCGGCTGCCCTCTAGTGGTGGCCCTGGCTCCGAACTGTAATAAACCTCCCTCTGTCCCTATCTGACCTGTGTAAGATTGCCCAATCACTCCGCTGGGCGTCACTATGGCAACCCGGAAGCATCTGAGCGGCCGTGGAACGCAAACAGCGGATGTTCAGGAGCCACAGGACGGAAGTGGGAGGGTTTTCTGCTTTTTAGACTATTATTCTAATTATTGCTGATATTATTAATCATGATACTAGCATTATTGCTGATATTGACCATAATTATATCATAATTGCTGATAATAATCATAATACTATTATTATTGCTGATATTAATATACTGCGGGGAATTTATCAAAACTGGAGCAGCTGTGTATGGCAGCCAATCAGCATTCACCTTTAATTTTCAAAGCTTAACTGAACAGACTGAAGAGAGAAGATGATTGGTTGCCATGAGCAACTGCTCCAGCTTTTGTCTGCTCCAGTTTTGATCAATTCCCCTGCTATTATTAAGAAATATTATTACCAAAGACAACACATTTGTCTATATTGATGCCATTCCAATTCTTTTGTCTCTCTTTTTCTTCAACATATAAGATACTTGAAGTAGAAATCCATTTTTTGTTTTGTTTTTAGGATCCCCAATTACCGTCCCATCCCGTATAAAAAAATATTGCCAATGTTCAATTGCCCTCTCCATACTCCAGCGCTGTCCCCAGGTTGCCACCTGTCCAGGATTCACCCAGACAGTCCGGGGTTTGAATGTTGTGTCTGGGTTTTACGGCAGCTAAAACCCGGACACATGATGTCAGGCAGACAGGGGCAACCAAAATGAAGATAGGGGCTACTGGCCCCCCACTGAAAATAGTCTCCACTGTGATATTTACATATGAATGGGTTATGCTATTTACATATGAATAAGCCGCAACTCGTTCTCCCCCAAAAATCTCCGCACGTTGTTTGGCGACAGCTGCGTTTGCCACCTTTTCTTCAAGTGAAACCCGAACACTCTGACAGAGTGTTCGGGTTTCACTTGAAGAAAAGGTGGCAAATGTAGCTGTCCCCAACTTCCTGTTTGGTGCCATGCTGGCAGTCCTCTTCACGGAAGCCCGGCCTATTTCCTGTGAGCTCAGCCTGTCCTTTACATTCCCCTCAGTGGGTGTGTCATCCCACGGGATGGGATTACAGTTCTAGGATAGAGCAGCGTTAACACATCATTACGTAAGCGGCGCTCAGTCCTTGAAGAATTTTGGATAGAGTGGAGAGGGATTAGAGCCCTTATCAGGTTTTTATTGCTGCCTGTGCCCCCCGTTATGGAAAAGTAACCCTGGTGACCGTTATCACTGAAAGTGCAAGAAAATCCACCAGGTTTTGGTTCTGGTTGCCACCAGAACAGGAATAGATGGGAAATCTTCCAATGGGGTTCTGGTGACCACCCTTACTTTGGAGGGATTTCCTTGTAATGTATGTAATGTATACAGTGCACAAATAAAAGCATTTTAGCAAACACAGAAATAAATTATACTGTAGCACAATTACTAAACTAGTACTGATAGTGTAACGAGATGAGGGATGAGAAACAAACCTTCCCCATATACAGTGGGGGGGGGGGATTTATCAAGGAAGGAATGGGACTGCAGTGAAACCTCACCTCTGCTGATGTAAGCAGCATCAACTGGCTGACAGCAACACTCCTTGCCTGAGCTGTCAATCATGCAGATGCA